ACTGTTTGAAAGTGGCGGAGACCCAACGTTTAAAGGAAGTCCACTTTAAAGGACCACACTGTTTGAAAGTGGCGGAGACCCAACGTTTAAAGGAAGTCCACTTTAAAGGACCACACTGTTTGAAAGTGGCGGGACTTCCTTTCAAACGTTGGGTCCCACACTTTCAAACAGTGTTGAGTCGCTGGTACATCACTGGTACAAGTTCGACTCGCTGGTGCATCGTTCGATTCGCTGGCGCAACGCTCGGATCCAGCGATTCGCAAACTATGACATCTGTCTAGCGATTGAAGTGCTTCAATAGTGCTTTACTTGCGCAGTCGCTTCTTTTTTAGTCGAAAAATCTGAATATCCATTTGAATACAAGCTTTTGTGGGTCAGCTTAGGCTTTTTATTTAGTACCTGAACATCACTGGTTTTTCTTCCTATTTGTTTGAGCTGTTCAAGCGTACCAATGGAAAGTGCTGATGCTTGCATTTGAGTGCTCGGACGATGTGTGCCGGAAATTCTCATCGGAGCCGGAGACGCCCTAAATAACCTTCAAAAAGGAAACGCATCACTCGACGCTCTCAAGAACATGTTCGGTGATGATGGCACCATTCCGCCCGACAAACTGGTGAACGACAGCGAGAAGTAAGTGAAGGGGCATGGCTCCCCACACAAGAGGCGTCAAGCATGCAAAACTGAACGCGACCCCTTTTTCCTGTCCCTTCTATTTACAAGATTTCAAACAGTAACAGCAAAAATTCACTTCTCCGAAATTTCAGGAACCCGTTTCCGGGGAGCCACTGTACTCTCTTTCGAAAGTTTAGCACGCATCGATGCATCCTCATTCAGGGTCAACCGTGCATTCGACTGTTCGAAAAGGGGGTTTTGGTTTTGAGAAGGGTATAGGTCGTATTCGGGGGTGAACGGGAAAGTAATTGGAAGGAGAGAAACTTTAGCGTTTTTTGCACTAATATACCCCCTCCCCTCCCCGTGTAGGACTGTGTCGACTGGTCTCAGAATCAAATACAATAGAAACAGCCATGATGGCGAGGGTGGTGGTCGGGGTAGGGAGAAGGGTGGTCGTATTGGGGAGCCTCCTGAGTCTCATGGTGGTGGTGGGGTCGCATCGAGACCCCCTTAAAGGAGGGGGTCGCGAAATTTTTGAAAAAATGCGAACGTCACGGTTGACCCTGTTCTCAATACACCCCTCCCCTCCCCTAAAGGGTAAGGATGCGATATCATTGCTGAACTTGACCCAATGGACCGGATGCTTTTGACCATGCTTCTGTCTTAGGAAGCACATGGATGTCAGTTCCTCTATTCTCGGCGATTGTAATGAATCTTTTTACATTCTCAGATACATTGGAGAAGTTGTCAACTCAGAAGGTGCCATCACCAAAATCGTCCACGATCTCTCGAAATCCTGGTGGCAGGTATAGCTCTTTTTCGTTTACTTTCATAGCCTCGAACGGCAACAGAATGTAATGCTCTATCAGCAGCGTTGCTCAATCCTTGCTCTGTGGAATTGCCTCATGCTCACTTTTTACTTAACATCATGAAATGCCTCAGAAGAGAAGATTGCTTCCAGATTCTCACACTAATCTTGGCAGCTGGTGTCTGCGCCTTTCTCTGGACAGTAGTATTACGTGTTCTCGGCGGTTTCATGATTTGGACTTCAATTCTTTGTATAATTGGAGTTCTAGGGGCAGGTGAGCGTGACCCTTGACCTGCCTACTAAATCTACATACTTTTTATCCGTTGTTTCAGGTTGTGGATACAGCTGGTTCAAATGGACAAATCTAGTGAAAGCTGGAGCCGTTGATGACTACTCTTTTCAGCCAATATTCAGCGTCTACTTCGAAATGCCTACCACATGGCTCGTTGTTGGTTAGTATATGACCAACTGTAGCTATTTTTTCTAAAAGACTCTTTCTGACCGTTTCCCTTCAGCAATCATAGTGAGTGTCGCCTTACTCATTGTACTTCTCGTTCTCCTCTTCGTTCGCAAACGAATTTCCATCGCTGTGGCACTGATCGAGGAATCGAGCAAGTAAGAATCTCTTCTATTCCAACGAAATCATCAAGCACTAATTTTCGGGAGTAGGGTCCGTCCCGCAAAAGTTGCATCGTTGAAGTCAACAAATGTGCCTATATTCTGAACCTGCAGTTCTTCATCTGCTGCCGTCTTCAGGCAGGGAGAGAACGTAACAGAACACTGAGTCAGAGGGCTCCCGAAATGAGCAGAGAACAGGCGTAGTCGGCAGTGGCCACACAGAGAAATTGAAAATGCTTAGAATTCCACGCGCATCAATAACAACTGATATCATATTTTTATGTCAACCTACAACTCAAATTAACATGGGGCGGAAGTGGTGTAGTGGCAAGTGGCACGCTTACCACGCGAGCGGTCCGGGGATCAAATCCTGGGTCGTGAGTCGCCCGGGCCAACCAAGCCTTCCATCCCTCCGGGGTCGGTTAATTGGTACCAGACTTGTCTGGGAGGATAAAAACACTGACTTGTACATCGGCTGGCCCCGCAAGTCATTGTATAGGCCACATCGCATTCAAACGCCACTACGAATGTACAAATGGAAGTAGAATGCGTGCCGCATCCCAAAAAGGGATTGATCAACGGCAAATGCTTTATCCTTTTTATCCTTTAACTACAACTTAGACTAGTGACCACTGCGCTACGATTAGATAAAAAGTAAAGTTGCAGTCCTGGCGACGTTTATGAATTCTTAGTTTAGCGTTAGCTCGTCAGAAAGTGTTGAAAAAATCTAGAGGCTCCGCAGTTTCCGTATTCCGCTTTCCGAGTTATGCGTTCTAGAGCATCAAACTAATGACATCACGTATCCTAGCACTGAGCGGTTGCTCAGCGAAAATGTGCCGGAAATGTTCGTATTCCGTGAAAAGGCCGACCCTCGATATGGTGCAGCAGCCATAACTTAAAGGCAAACCCGGGATTAGCCCGACGTGTGGGAAGGATACCGCGAGGGAAATTGTAAGGTCCCTACCTACCTAGATCACTCCAGCTTCGCAAAATTGCGCGGTTAGGGCGCTAATCCTTACGGGCCTGCAACCATCGACCCCCGTTGCAACGCTTCCCACCCACCTCGATATCGGCGTGCTCTCTCGAACGGCGTGATCTCTCGCGTGTTTTGTCTTCTTTGACCGCCCTGCCTCGCCATCGTTCCACATCCGACCTTTTGAAGGTTAAGGCCTTAATTTCAGCGATCCCAAAGATTTCTCTAGCTTTCCTTTCCACTTTCAGGCCGTCCCGCAGCTCAGTCATCACTACAAGCGCTCTTATCACCAGTTTCCGGGCTTGCCATTCACGAGAGAGAAATTTCGAACATATGGCTATTAAGAAATTATCAGAAAAGCATAATGTCGTATAAAGCGGACGCAATTCGCGCTTTCCGGGAGAGTTTCTGTTGTATAACTCGAACGTTGAGTTCCATATTTCAGAGCTGTCGGCCATATGATGTCTACCTTACTCTTTCCAATCTTCCCATTCGTGCTTCATTTACTCGTTAGTGACACTTATTTTTATGCCCAAAAATATCGTCATACCCAAAAACTAATTTCAATTCCACTCAACAGGTCATTGCCTTATGGGGCACAATAGCGATATGGCTGGCATCGTCCGGAGTCGAAACTTGCCAGAGAAATGATGGGCGAAATACAACGTGTGATTGTTCTACAAGAAAACAGGTCGGTCAATAGATACCCTAGGGAAAGGTGCTACGATAATCTCGAGATCAAAAATGGTGAAACATATCTACTACATAGGGAAGAAGCATCTTGAGGGAGGGGGGGGGGGACGATTCGCGTTTTGCTGAGAAAAGGCTGTTTCTAGTGATGTTTTGTTGTGAAATACAGGTGCCCCTGATTGTCACTCCCCTTTTCCCTTTTGTGTCATTTTTATCATTTAAGGATCCGAGCTGTGTATTCCTTGGTCTTGTGAAACAAGAAACGACGATATTCTGGCTACAGGTCTATAATCTGTTCGCATTCTTCTGGATGATGTGCTTCGTCTCAGCCCTCGGTTTGTCAACTTTCAAGTATCGTCATTAGAAGCCAGCATAGGTTCCACCCAAACTGTACATGCAGCAGTACTTCCTCGGCCCTACATTCGTGCCTCGAATGTAAGAGCGTCTACTGAAAGGAAATAGTATACTACACTGGTGTGCAAAACTTAAGGACCGGAAGTAACTTTCACATGATATCTCACTGCTAGTTAACCTAGGTGGACCAAATTTGGCACATATATAGAAGTAAATGTTGCGGTACAGTGCAGAGAGTTACTAACAGAAAAGCGCAAAGGGGCGATTGGAAAAGACATTTTTCTGCAAATACCCTGTCTGAAGCGGTCGATAGGTGAGGCTTCTCCAACTCATGGTAGACACTCAAAAGAGAGGAGCTGGTTCTTGATGGGGTGTATGAACACTACGGACTGCAAGGTATGCTCTGCTACGTGTTCCCATACAGGCCGTAAGATTAGTTAAGAGTTCTTGAGGAGAAGTGACCGATTCCTTGGAGACCGCGATTGACAACTGCAGGACTATTGTTGGCACATGGTCATGTGCTACAATAGCTCATCTGAATCCACGCCACACGTGCTCCATAGAATTAGACTGGAGGAAATAAATGGCTTCACCAATTACCGAAAATCCTCACTTTTCAAGAGTTTTCCACCCAGGCTGCTCGATACTCTCGCACACTGCCCTCCATACGATTGAAGCTGAGGGCAAGGGAACCCTTGGAAAGATGCACATGACAGAAGGGTACAACACCACAATCACGTTGATCAGAAAGTGTAACGCGATCATGAGTTGGGGATCAGTACGCCCCGACAACTTTATGCCTCCCCACATCATGTCGCATGCACTACCAAAACAATCATGTTAAACGATGGTCCTGGGTAGATTACACGTTCCTATTTTCCCCATATGCAGGTAAGTCCAGAATCACTACTCACATTCAGTTTGCTCTTGACCGGGAAGAATACGCGATTTTTCAATTCGGTGGTCCATCTCCAATGTCTCGGCTCGTACCAAATGTCCCAGCCGAGGCGTGGATTTCAAATGAATACAGGTATTGTTGATCGATGAGAGAGATCACTCCTAGGCGGTCACTGCGCCACTGTCCGGACTGGGATTACATGCCTTACAATCCTGATAAATGTTTTTGCAACTGCAGCATGTGACTGACGTGGGTCCATTTTTGCCTGTAGCAAAACCTAGCAATCACCTGCTGCTGCGGTTGTTCGTGACCCACAACCTCCTCTTCTTGGGACAGCAGTGGCTGCGGTCCACATTGCTTCTCATGCACAAAAAACAATGCTGTGGTTGACACAAAACTCCTGGACACAACTTCCTTTTTTCAGTTTCCCAATGATTCTTCCTCGCGTAAAGTCACCCTAGTGTTGTCTCTGAGACTTGATGTAATCAAGAACACCACTACATTCCACAGTCACTTCTCCCTGCTTAGTTTACCCCTCTTGTCCTGCCCCACGATACCCATCGTTCTGGGTGGCCACCCCATTTAGGCTCCAGATTGAAGCCGGATGCAAGACATATGAGGCCCACTTCGGTGCCCATGACTGTAGGGCTTCTAGCATTATGCCCGTACAGTTTCATCCAATTCCATCTAATTGTTAATAAGTTAGGACAATTTATCTATCTGGTCCTTAAGTTTTGCACACCAGTGTACTTGATTTGAGCGGTTGTTGGGCAGAGAGAACGTCAGATGGCGAACGTGCCGTTGACTGGATTCCTTTTAGATGCGCCACACGTTTTACTTCAATTCAGAATCGTAGTGACATCGAAAGCGATCCGAGCTAAACAGTTAAACAGAGGGTCGGACCATGTTCGAGGGTTTATACTACATAGCGGCTCTGGAATCAAATAAAGTTTCCCTTAGGTGTGGAAAGACGTTCTTCTAAATTTGCTCCTGGATTAGACCCACATTCTGGGTGCGTTCACGCCACACCAACTCCACTCCGACCCTTCATAAGCGACTCCCATTCCAATTCATGAAAAAAAATCTCCGATTAGTGTGAATTTTGGTGTTTCAGTTGATTTGGCCAGTCATTCTTCTGTTACTCCTCCAGAAATTTGGGAGCTAATTTTTTTGAAGGATTCCTTCAAAACGGCAGGAGCGATGAATTCGATTTCATTAAATTATTCCTAACATTCTTGAACAGATATTATTTAATCATTATCATTTGCTGAAAAGTTCAGGGAGCAATTCGTTAATTTTACAGGGGACATTTCTCTCGCGGGTGCATTCGCTAGTTATTACTGGGCGAAGAACAAGCCAAAGGACGTGCCTTCATTTCCGGTACTTCGAGCGCTTGGTCGGGCTCTCAGGTGTGCTTCCGAGTATTCTATCATCAACATCGAGCAAATCAAATTTTGCTTCGCTTCTTCTGAAATGATCATCTGATATAATGACTAATGTCCTACTATCTGGGATATTTCCATGATACTATTTGTCCATCGTTCAGGTACAATTTGGGCTCCTTAGCTTTTGGTTCATTGATAATCGCTGTTATAAAACTTATTCGAGTATTACTTGACTATTTGGACAAAAAGCTTTCAACAACCAACAGTACTGTTATCAAAGTCATTCTGTCGTGAGTTTCAACTTTCAAACAATCACTTTCATATGATAATTGTTTTTTGCCAGTTTTGCCTTCTATAATACTCCTTATCCACTTATCAAGAAGTAGCTATTGATTCAGAGCCCTGAAATGCTGTTTCTGGTGTCTGGAAGTTTTCTTCAAATTCCTCACAAAGAACGCTTTCATTATG